GCAGGACTCCCTCCACCTGCTCTTTCCAGCCTTGCTGACTCTTCTGGCTCACCCGTTAGTGCTGGAACAGCTGGAGTTCAAGATGGGCGAAGCCCACCTGGAATCGAGACCATCCGAGAAGGAGGCCGGGCACATGCCGGGACTGCATTTCCTAGCTGCCCTTTTGTCTGCCTGTTGCAGGTTCCTTGTACCGCGAACGAAGCGGAGCCGGGACCTGTGCCAGTCGTGTCGCAGGCCACTGAAATTGTAAAATCGGGAGGGGGGCATGTGCTGACGGCTGCTGCAGGACAGGCTTTCTGCGGATGCACCCCCCTGCATTTTACATTTCCCGGCCACCCGGACCAGGCTCCGGAGACTGTGGGCGAAGCCCACTTGGAATCGGGACCATCCGAGAAGGAGGCCAGGACATGTAAATTCGGGGTGGGGGCATGTGCGGAATCGCTGCTCTAAAAGGCCGGGACTGCCCCCCCCGGCTTTATACATTTACTAGCTGCCCTTGTGTCTGCCTGTTGCAGGTTCCTTGTACTACTACCCGGACCTGTGCCGGTCGTGTCGCAGGCCACTGAAATTGTGGGGGGGGGGCGGGGCATGTGCCGACGGCTGCTGCAGGATAGGCTTTGTGCGGATGCACCCCCCTGCATTTTACATATCCCGGCCACCGGACCAGGCTCCGGAGACTGTGGGCGAAGCCCACCTGGAATCGAGACCATCCGAGAAGGAGGCCAGGACAGGCACAATTGTAAATTCGGGGTGGGGGCATGTGCGGAATCGCTGCTGTGACCGGCCCGGCCGGGACTGCCCCCCCCCGGCTTTATACATTTACTGGCTGCCCTTTTGTCTGCCTGTTGCAGGTTCCTCGTGCCGTGAACGAAGCGGGCCGGCCGTCCCGCAGGCCGTGGAAATTGTAAAATCGGGAGGGGGGCATGTGCCGACGGCTGCTGCAGGATACCCCCTGCATTTTACATATCCCGGCCACCCGGACCAGGCTCCGGAGACTGTGGGCGAAGCCCACCTGGAATCGAGACCATCCGAGAAGGAGGCCAACACAGCCACAATTGTAAATTCGGGGTGGGGGCATGTGCGGAATCGCTGCTGTGACCAGCCCGGCCGGGACTGCTTTACTGGCTGCTTTCTCCGGCTTGGAGTCTGTGCCTGGCTGCCGTTGTGTCTGCCCGTGGCAGGTTCCTTGACCCTGAACGAAGCGGAGCCGGGACCTGGGCCAGTCGTGTCGGGAGGGGGGCATGTGCCGACGGCTGCCGTAGGACAGGCTTCGTGCGGATGCACCCCCCTAGGATATACAATACCTCCGCCCCTGCCCGGGCCAGGTTCGTGACGCCGTGAAGAAAGACAAGCTGGAATCGAAACCCTCCTCGAAGAAGGAGGCCTGGTAGATCCAGGGCAAACCGGTTCTAGCAAGCTTCCACCTACGCACGAGGTTCCTGGTGCGGTGAGGAAAGTCAAAGCGGAACCCGGGCCAGCCGTGGTCCAGGCCCGTTTGGAGTGTAATCTCGGGGGGGGGGCATGCGTATGTGCAGCAGGGGCAGGCGCTTTGGCGAATGCCCCCCCCTGCTTTTTACAGTGTCCTCAGTCTGGACGACCGGCTAGCTGTTGCTGTGGCTGCATGTACGTGCTTGCACTAGGATCCTGACAACGTGAAGAAAGCCAAGCCGGACGCCGCCGAGACCGTGAACGAGCCGATATCCGGGCCCCAGGCCTGCTAAATTGTAAATTCGGGGGGAGGGGGGGGGCTGCCGCATTGCTGCGTTCCCGGCACCCCCACCCCTTCGTTTTACAATTATGCCAGGTTGCTGAGCTCCGGGCCGTGAAGCCCGAGTGTGAGACCGATGTGCCGCAGGCCCGGGAAATTGTAAAACGAGGGGGTCCCCAGTCCTGGGTTCCTGTGAACGGTGTTGCTTACCCAGGATCCCCCCCCCCCCCGATTTAAATTTATCGGGGATGCCAGGAGACTTCTAGAATGGGTATGCAGGCCAGTGTTTTTTTTTGCATTTACCCGGCCAACAGGCGCACCAACTACCTGCATCCATTCTGCGGCCGTGGCAGCGCTTCCAGCGTGAGATTGGGCTGGCTGTAGATGATCTGGACATAGACATATCCTGGCAAGGAAAACCGCTGCATCCTAGAAGCATCCGGAACATGTTTGTTGTTTGTATCTTTTCATGCCCTGCATCATCCTGAATCAGTAATCAGTAACCCAGACAATCACTGCACCTCCTTCGGAGGCAGTTGCTGGCAGCTTCACGTTATGCACGGCTGCTAGATCTGCTCGGCACGGCCTGCAGCCGGGAGTACATAGAAGCGAGCCGGCAAGAGGCAGCTGCATACATCAGTCACTCCTTACGTGGTGGTGACTCCGACACCTGGGCCAGGCTGTCTAGTCAAGACCGGGGAAGGTTGCAGCCTGCCGATGTGAGCAGCTTTCTAGATTCCCTGGACTCGAGCTGGGAGCCATACCTGACAGAGTTTGTGATGCCGGGCAACGCCTTTCGAGGCGAGGAGCTGCAGCAGCGCATTCTGAAGGCATCGGATGCAACCCAGTCGCTCTTGCATGTGCTTCTCAGGGTTTGTCCGCTTACCTTCCAAGCTGTTCTTCCGGATGTCATGGCGGCAACGAAGATCAAGAAGGAGCAGGGCGAGAGCACTGGGGATGCTCGACCGGCCAGCCCATTGCCAGTCCGGGGAGATGTCAAGGATGAGGGCCCCGTGCAGCTCCGTCAAGCAAGTGCTGCCATGGACGGTGATGACGGTGATGCCCCGGATGAGGAGGAGAGCCAGCTCTGCGAGGACATCGAACGTGAGATCTTGCAACCTTACCCGAAGGAGGCTGTGTTCCTCGAGAAGGAGGTGAGTTGGGGCGCTTTGCTGCATGCTTTGGTTGGCTATGCCAAACACAGATGGGGTGCACTCTGGCCTGCAAACGTTTGCATGACACTTTGCTCCAACGAGTCAACGAAGCAGTGGCAGCTCCAGCGACCCCGACCGATCCTAGGTGTCGTCTGGCCACGGGGACCTCCGGCTGCGGGGCCGAGGGCTCTGTAGCCATGAGGGTTCGTTCGCCCTCGCGAAGTTGCCAGGATCGCCTCGTCGGGCCAGACCTGGAGGCAGTCCAAGCCCCCCAGCTTCAGCCTGTTGCGACACAGGCTGAGCACCTCATTGGCTAAGGCTGAGGGCTTAACTGCCAAAAGGTTGTATCCATGTCCGGCACAGCTCCTGGCGGACCGTAGCGGCCTTGGCATCTCGACACCTAGCCACCTGAACATACCCCGTGCCATGATCGACGCAAACGAGGAAGATTTTCTCCGAGCCGAACAGGTTCATATAGAACAGGTCGACCGCCATAATGGCATTGAAGCTCAGCGTCTTTGCCAGGTGGGCAGGTCTCGCAGGAGAGGGGAGGAGGTCCCTCAACCCTCGGTGCACTGGCAGGTGCAGGGCTGCTTGGAAGAGCCCCGGCGTAACAAAACAGCCCATCCGGGCTGTTGACAGCCCGGTGGGGTCCGTAAGAGGGTGGTGCCACCACAACCTCGTCAAGAGCCGGATCCGCGGAGGAAGGCTCTTGAGGGGGGGAGCACCCCGTCCCTCCTTCAGACCCCGCACCCTCCTTTGCGACGGAACACACTGGGCCCTCGTGGCACTTCATCGTGGACAGCAGACAGCGCTTCTGTACGACGGCCTGCGGCGGACAGCCTGCCGGACGCAGGCGGCGGCGTTCCTCAAGCAGGTGGAGACCGCACATAGCTTCACCTATCAATTGCGAGACGGCTTGTTGCCAAAACAGCCGGACAGCTGGTCTTGTGGGCATAGGCTCCTCGCTGTCGCTAAGCATCTGCTCCAGGCTACTGAGGACGAGTGGCCACCCGATGTGCCGGATGAGGTCCTGCACAAGTCCAGCCTGCAGTCTGTTTGTGAAGACTCGAAGCCCTTGCCAGACACTGGCCTGCCGAACGAGAGAGCCAAGACAGAGCCTCGGTGCACCCCTCCGCCTATCAGCGGTGGGGCAAGACCTGCCCGGATCAAGCAGGAGAGTGTGCCCGCTTCGTCCCACCCTGGAGACATAGTGCCTGCGAAGAGGCCGGCGAGGGAGGCAGCACAGCGGAGAGGACGAAGAGGAGGAGGAGGAGGAGGATGCTGGGGAAGGACCGCAGCAGCAAAGTGCTGCACGTGCTGGGAAGCGCCAAAAGGCCCAGAAGACAGACCATGCAGCTCTTGGCTTGGAGATCGTGAAGAAGTCCGGCCTGAGCTTCAACAAGGACTTCCAGGCAGAGCATGCTCGACTCAAGTTGAGGCTGCCCAAGCAGCACTGGCAGAGGTTCTGTGAGCAGGTCAGCAAGAACGGCATCCTCAGCTGTGCTGCATGTGTTCTGCTACGAGATCGTGTCTTGCGTGGCAAGGATGACGGTGACGGAGCTGTGGCTGAGGATGCCGAGCAGGATGCACCGCCAATCCAGGATGCTGCAGCGGAGGCTTTGGTCCCTGCAGCAGCGGCGGAGACGGACCCGTCGCAGACTCGGGTGATCAAGAAGAAACCTGGACGTCCCGGGAGAAAGGATAGGACGGCTGCGGATGCAGCACCTAGCCTGCACGACAGCATCCTCAAATACAGGCCAGGCCTGTATAGCTTGAAGGTCGGGGCTCGCTACGATTGCTTAGCCTGTAACTGTGAAGTCAACTTTCAGCGGACAAGCACCTCCGGCTGGGACTTCCTATTGCAGCACGAGAAGTCAGGCAAGCACACCAAGGGCCTGACTCGTCTGTCAGTTCGACATGATGAACAGGAGGAGGAGCCGCTGCTGCCGCTGCCAAGCAGCGGGTGTCCAGGTCCAGGTCATCTTCTAGGAGCAGCTGGCTGTATGCTGCAGCACATGGAGGCCGATGCTCTGTCGCTTTGGGTTGTACTCAAGTAGGGCATTGGGGTCTGAGTTTTGGCCTACTCGTACCGAAGCTCCGATCAGGCCTCCATCCGAGCATGGGTGGCTTCGGGGATGCTCCAAATCAAGGGCAGCGAGCTGAGTAAGCTGGTTGTGCAGCCGATGGACGACAAGCTGCTGATCCGCCACATGCACTGCACTGGCACCGCGAGTAGCGCAGTCTGCGTGGCTTGCCAACAGCTGCCCAGGCGCAAGCCGTTCATGCAGGACATTGCCCGCTGGTCACTCAAGTTGGACCAGGCCAGCCTGGCCTATCACTGCGTCTACCAGCCGGACGAGGTGGCGAAGCTGCTCGCTGGGATGGAGACCAAGGATTATGCGGGCATCTGCAAAGAGGACATCGGCAGCTGCAAGCAGGCATACACCAATGGCGGATGTGCGAGTCTGCTGGAGCTGTGCACTCGAGCTTTTTACTGCATCAACAACAGGATCCGCACGCCACACCTGCAAGCCTTCATCGCGACCAAGCTTGTCGGACTATCCATGCCCCCGGACGATGAGAGTGCTGCATACTCCGAGTTGTGTCGCAGCCTCGAAAAACAACTTGCGTCTGGGCACATAGAGCAGGAGAACCTCAAGCTTGCAGCCTTCGTCGGATCCGGAGCCTTGTCGAAGCACAAGGCCATTTCAGCCATGTTTCGGACGTTTGTAGAAGCGGAGAGCAAGCTGGCTCGGGGCGTCCTGAAGCGTCCGAGCACATCGAGGTTCCTGAGTGACGAAGGTACTCGCATGGAGATAATCCATATGTTGGGGCGCACAACCGCCTCCAAGGATTGCCTCAAAGCGTTCCATGTCGATCCGACAAAGGCCCTGTCCCCACAACAGCAAGCTCAGAATGCCATCCTGATCAGCAAGTGCCTGGGGGGCGGTGGGCGGTCCCTCGTGCTCTCCATCGACGAGACCTGTTGGAAAGCCTCCTACGAGGCGGTGTCACGGCTGCGTGGTTCTGGGATACCCACCATCGGTGGTGGATGGTCCAAGTCAAAGAACATGGCGGTCCTGACCCGTGAGGATCCGCGACCAGAATCTGATCTGGCCAAGATGACCATCAGTGTCCTGGTCACACGGGCCGATTCGAACAGCTATGCCATGGACATGGACCTGGTTCCCTGCTTCCAAGGGAAGGATGGAGGCAAGGCGGGAATGTTCCTGGAGATCGTTGGGCAGGCTATGATGTCATTGACCCGGGCGTGCTCCAACATACCGCCCTTGTCGGTATCCTACGACAACGGCTCCTCGAACGCTCTGCTGAACAACTGCCTGCTTGGCCTCCTTCAGCCGTCGGACCTCGTGGGGATCCCGTTCTTCTCGGGGTGTACCGTGAACAAGGTTGGGAGGATACCGATGTTTCCATTTGGCTACCTAACATGGTCCTCCACGAAACGTCCGAAGCCAGGGGATCAGCCCAACTCCTTTGCCGTGACGGGTTTCAGGGATGTCTATCATTGCCTGAAGAACTACACATTGCAACATCTCAGCGCCTTGCGGACGATTCACCATGGATCCTTCCCAGTAGACTACCTTCCCATGCTACAGGGTGGCCTGAGCTCCGCGGCTTTCTCGGCCAGGGATCCGCAGTCGGACAAGGGCCCCAACCGATGCATCCTCCGATATTCCGATGAGGCAGGGCAGTTTTGGAGGCAACCAGTTTTGTGAGGTTTTCTGCTTACCCTCCAAACCATCCCTGTCAGTCCATGAAGAGCCTGAAGAAGTTCTTGGCGGAGGAATCCTGGAAAAAGGGATCGGATGCCAAGACCCAGGCCTGCAATAACAGGATAAAGAAAGCCCTAAAACCCTAGGTGCACCTGCCAAGCCGTATCCCTGAAGCTCCCTGTCAGATCGTTGCATTGCCGAGCTCCGCGGTTGAGGGCTGGAACCATCGGCAGTTTACGCCCGCCTTGGCGGCGAAGAACGTCAACTTGTTTTTGAGCAGGCTTCCGCACATGTACAGTCAAGTGTCGTCGCCCCTGGTCGATTCAGACGGTCAGTTCGCGATGAGTGCGAAGCGCAAGATCAAGTGGTCTGAGGTGGTGTGCCGTGCCATCATGTACTTTGATACCCGCCTCACAGGGCAGAGCTCGCAGATGTACAGCTCCAGCGTTTTCTCTGCTTTGGCCGAGCTGCACCCCAGCAGGTCGAACGGCCTGCTTGCAGTCAAGAAGTTCGTCCAGAACGTGGACTCCATAGCCCCGCCGTGGCTGGCGATAACCTAGGGTCGTGATGGCTCGTGTTTGCAGTGTCAGCTGCGAGTTGAAACACTTTACAATGACTCAGTCTAGGCATGTTCGGAGCCAGCCACACGGGAGCACACGAACTTTAAGCGACCCCGAAACCTAAACCCAAAACTCACCAAGCTGTTGAAAGGAGTCCCGTTCGAAGGCCGTAGTGCTTCTTGAAGAGACTCGACGACTGTTGCAAGAGTCCGTTGCGAAAAAAGAGACAGTGCGCACATGGTCGTTTGCTGAGCTGAAGCCTTTTGAGCTACATGCATATATATATATATATATATATATATATATATATAGATCGAGAAGCCAACACCCTTTTTTACAATTAGCTTGTTCGTAGCCTGAAGGGAGCCGAAACTGTAATATACAATTCTGGCCCCCCCCCAGCTGAAGACGGTGGGGATCTCTGTGCTATTTCGGTAACAGTCAAAGTCTTGAGCGTGTACGAGTGAAATATTGGTCAGACAATATGCAAGCATGAAGAAATAAACGCATGCTACGCACGAAATAGCTGTGTCACACATTTGTTGATCTTGGCATTGGACATACTGAAGTATCCGTCACTGGACATCACCTGGTCATCCAACAATGACATATATATATATATATATAAATTGGAGTAACATCAAGGAACATGCGTCAGTACCATGAGCATATCTAAAACGGCCGAGAGCATGTCTCAAAATCACTACACAGGAATATGAAAAGAAATGGAGCGACCAGTGAAGACGGAAGAAGGAACGGGACAGAGCACTCTCCCAGCTCTCCCGTCCCGTCGGTGCGAGCACCCAACGGTCTCCCGCGAGCGGGACCATAGCCCAAGAGGGGGGCGATCTGAAGAGAGAGGGTTGGCACCCGTCGAGCGGGGCTCCCCCTCAAGCATGAGCAGAAACGAATGTCACTGAACGATGACCAACCAGCCCAACTGATCGTCAGAGACCGGACATTAAACTTTGCAAGCTTTTCATGCGCAATACGACCTCCCCACGCTATGAACAATCTACCGGATGTAGCACTTAGCCGTTCGTCGTGATGCTTGCACCCCGGTCTGACAATTCGCCAAAACAAAGATCACAAATACGGTTAGCCCTCGCGCATCCCCTATAACCGCTTCCTGCCCTTCCTTACCCCCCCACAGGAATTCCGGACAATTTCAGCACATCCTCCGGTTTTGATCGCGCGATCGCCTATGGCTAAGAAGATACTGATCCGAGATGTTCTTCGGAAGTTGTTGAAAGGCAGTATGGGCTGTGACACGATTTGTTGATTCGAGGGTATGTGAATGGGACAAACAAACATCTTCGTTTAGAGTTTGCCACCGAAGCCGAAGTTTGCTCAATACCAAACAGCCCACTGCCCTTGTTAGCGAATCTGTGGCCTTGCGGTCTTGCTGCTTTAGTTGCAACGTGAGAAACCGATTCGGTTCGTTCGTGGGCAAGACGATGCCAGTGTCGATGAATGCAATTGTTGTTACTGGTGTTGCTAATACTGCTGTCGCTGCAACTAGTATTGCGAAAATACGACTGTCTCGTACAAGGCCGATGCGAACGAAATGCTGAGAACCCATATCGGACGCGTGTGAATCTTGTTGTCACTTGTACACAAAGTTATGCAATGATGCTCTTGTTCTTCATAAATAACGATGAATTTGGAATCCACTTCTGGAATTCATAAGCTACATATTTGTGTGTATTTTGGAAAATCCCACGACCGGTTGTACGATAGCTCGTCTTGCGACTCCATCAGATGTGGCATCATGGTAGATTCAGGTAGATTCAATCACATGTTCTCCTGCAAAGCCAAAGCTGCAACAAAGAACAAGCTGGAAGGACATGCCAATCCAGGTGGCGAAATCAAGCCAATTATAATCTGGTACAGCGTGGCAACCGAATACATAAACAATTCTTCGAAAGATAATTTACAGGTAGTTATTGTTGATTTTCTGTTGTTTAGTTTTTACTCAGATCCCCTCAATCCAGTACTTAAACATGACTTGGATGAATACTGTGTAATGACGCTGATTCTGACATGAGTAGCGTATCCGCCCTCCCAAACACATGGTGGAAGCTACACCAGGAGTCCAGCATTGCCTAAACCCACCAATTTCGTTGGGCCATGCGACGTGCGAGCTATATTTCTAATCCAAAAGAGTCCCTACGTTGCTCGCCCGTTACTCCTCCTTCAGCGCCCAAAATGTGGGAACCTGAGGGGGGTAACATAATATACACAATTACCTTTACATATATATGTATATATCTATACATTATATACATGTATACATATATACATATAGATGTTTACATGCCTCTCTCTCTCTCTCTCTTTCTCGCTTTTCTCTTTTCCTTTGTGCTTCCCTTTCCATTATCTCTGCTGCTGCCACCCAGGTCGCTCGTCCCTTTTTCTCTGCCAACATCCCAATGTCTTCTAGCCGTGGAAATGAAAATTGCTGCCGTTCTCAATACCGACCTCAGTATGCCAGTTATTATTTAGTGATGTTGGCCCCGGCAATAGCCGGCAAAAGTGAACCACGATCATCTTGCGATGTTCCTGACACTCGCCATTGACGACTAGCTTCCCCAGGCATGAGAGACGATGTCAGCAGAATCCGATAAGATCCCGGCCCGGAGGCATTTCATGCAACGCGACGGCCAACGCAAGGCGATGTGGCAGCGAGGACAGTGTTAGCAACGTCTCTGTCGAGGTTGTTCAGGGGTTCGCTGGAGCCAATGAAACCCTGCTCGCGAAATCCAGCAGGAAGCTGGCGTTTCGGACTGCTTCTTTCTAGTAAGTTCTTGCTTGAAGCAGAAAACTGGCCGGTTTGCCAACGGTGGTCCTGTACATTACTGCGACCAACCCATTGCAAGAGGCTGCTGGTAGCTGAAACAGAACGAGCAGGTCCCGCACGAACGAGAGGCATGACTGGCAAGAGGAAAAATGATAGGAGCAAGGACAGCACTAGGGCTCGGATTGGAGTCACATGGGCTAAGACTTCTAAGACTTGAAGATACCCGAGGACTGTCTTGGAATCATGGGAACTAGACTGCGGTTGCACTGCACTGAAGTGTGTCGTCTCCGCTCAGTTCGAAGGATTGCGGTCAAAGCCCAAGAAGCTCCAACAAAGCGAGCTCGCCGAGCTTCGCAGAAGCCTCGCAAGGCGGCTGCTAACATAGGCTCATGGCAGCAAGCACTCCCCATGCCCGATTGGAAGGTGCAGAACGCGCACATGTCCGGATGAGATTTGCAGCATCCCAGCGACCGCAAAAGGAAAAGTTCCTCAATGCACTGTGTGTACCACAGTGCATGCGAGAGACAGCTGCCCACTTGCGCGGTGCACGGGTAGAATGAGTAGAGACTCAGAAAGAACTAGCCGTCAAGCAGCTCGATGTCTTCTGCAATGTCATGTGCAGGGACCACTGCATTGATTTTGCAAGTGCGAAGTCCCGGCGAAGCAAAGCAGAGGTACGCCGCGGGATCCCTCCGAATCGGATCTTCCTGGTCGGATATTCTCAAGGCCATGGCATCCCGATATACTCCTATTCGCTTCGAGTCCAGGCCATGATTTGCCAAAGCTTCATCCAAGTTGCGATTTCTCAGTTGGCTGTCGAACTTTCCAAATCTAAGCAAGCCTGCAAGAAGAACCAGAGAGCAAACCAACAGAATATGGCATCTGACTTGCTGCTCAGCCGTGTGACACCTAGGCGCATGCGCATGCAGGCGCATACCGTATACAGTCGCGTGGCACACACACCAGGAGATGTAGTCCCGTAGCGCAGACTACAGGCAGCTCAGTGAGAAGGGAATCTGATCCTCAAAGATCCTTTAAAGGGTGCTAAGGGGACGCTCTGCATGAGGGGTGGCTTAGACTATGAGAGGCGGGACCGTTCTCGGAACAAGTTTCGCGGAATTACTATGGTTTAGCGGCTAGCGCATATCATCGAAAGGGATGTGGAAAGTGGGAGGCGGATTAGAATTCGAAGCCGTGGATCTGGCAACCTGTGTCCGGCCAGCGGCAACCCTGGTCCGAACTCGGCTCTGCAGGATCTCTGACATAATGTGAGATCTGGGTCGCACATGTTTGCAAACAAACCTAAGCACAGACTTTCGGCCAGAACGGGGTTTAGCAAGCAATGAGCCAGACACCGGGGGCTTCTGGGTTAGGGATTTAAGCATTTCTGGGTTAAGGCTGGTTTCTGGGTTGTTAACCGCCGGCTGTTGTCCCATGCGTACTCGCATGGTCGTGAAACACTGGGCAGAGAACCAGCCACTGGGTAGGGAAAACAGCTGGCTGGAACCCCTGACAGGGGTTGAGGTGACCTTGCAAGGGGGATCCCGAATCCCAAAAGCTTCAAGCTCCGAAGTTCGAGACCTAAAGACACGCAAACACCAAAAAAAGACCCCACACAGATGCAGCGCACACAAAACTAAGCAAAGCAGTAAGGATGTCAAGCACATAACAAGCCCAAGGGCTGGACTGTGTCCGGACTCGGGTTGTGGACCCGGGCTGCGGCCGGAACGTCCCCCATGTCTTGGCATAATTGCGTCACCCCACCGCCTCCCCCCAAAACACACCCCCTTTGCCACAGCTTTCCGAGCCGCTGCAACAAGCGCCGTCGTTGTCCGGCAGCATGATATCCTGCAATCTTCTACACCAGGATTCAAGACTTTATCCGGAAAACTGCCATATCCGACCCGGGCTCTATTATTCTGGGAAGTTTAATTTCGACATATTTCGACATATTCCAGTATCACCCCCCTCTTCTTAAATTACCGCTGGGAGGGGTGTCCCCCTCAAAGAGCAGGTTTGGTAATTTAATCTGTTGCGGGTCGTCGGTCAGCAATAAGTGTCACCCGGGAGGGGGGAAGGACACGTCACGGTAATTTATTTGCCTTCGTGTTGCCGGGCTGCTGCATTTTTGTTTGTGTCACTTGGTCGTCGATGGCAAAGGTAGCGTCATATCCGTATGACTCTGGATGCTTTTCAACAGCTCGCAGAAGCGACCGCACCCGTTTTCGGGTGTGGGAGCCGCTCGTTGAAAGTGCAGGAGAACCAAGCTTCCAAAGTCTACCTCATCCTTCTAAACCCTGAACCCCAAAAGTAGGAAAGCCAGACACCAGAAACCTTGAACCCTAAACCTCTGAACCCTCAAGCCCCAAAATGCCAAACACCAGAAACCTTGAACCCTAAACCTCTAAACCCTCAAGCCCCAAAATGCCAAACACCAGAAACCTTGAACCCTAAACCCTCAAACTCTAGGCCCTAGTCCCCAAAATCCGGAAAGCCAGACACCAGAAACCTTGAACCCTACACCCGTAAACCCTAAACCCCTAAACCCCTAACTCGACTCCTTCAGCCCTCGATGTACTTAAACGCGACTTCTCGGAGGCGAGGCCCCATGGTGCCAGGTTTCTGAATGTAGTCGCTTCGGGGGCACCCGGACAACCCGAGTAATTTTCTTGCCCAGGGGCCGGGTTTCTGGTGTCTGGCTTTCCTACTTTTGGGGTTCAGGGTTTAGAAGGATGAGGTAGACTTTGGAAGCTTGGTTCTCCTGCACTTTCAACGAGCGGCTCCCACACCCGAAAACGGGTGCGGTCGCTTCTGCGAGCTGTTGAAAAGCATCCAGAGTCATACGGATATGACGCTACCTTTGCCATCGACGACCGAGTGACTTAAACAATTAAATGTGCTGCTGGTCTGGATGGATTTCTTTGTACCGGGGTTGTGCGGACACACGGCCGTGGGGGAGCGGGCCTCAACGAAGACGAAAAAAATGCGTGCTTTCAGACACGAGGGTTGCAGCACTGCTCCAAAACGCATCAGGGAAATGCGACACCGGAGGTAGGCCCAAGGCTGGGTAAATTACCAACCCCTCCCGAACCCCTAGCGTAAAGTACCACGGGGTGCCGAAGGCCTCCAGGCCGGCAATTTACGTAAGGCGTGGTGATTATTTCATTTGTTTGCCATGTACCATGAGCGGCAAGAACGGCAACCAACACGCCCACGCTATCATACGCTTTTTTGCCCGGCACTCACGAAACGTTCCCGAGCGTGCGTGCACACCAGCGTCCCTTGAACACAACTCATTAGATTCACACACTTACGAAGAGCTGAACAGGTGGTGGATTGGCCCTCGCCGCGGCCTTGCGCGCACCACGCCGTTTGGGTGGTGCCAGAAGCCAAGACTTTTTTCTTCCCAATCTAGTGAGACAAGGCGTGCAGTCGAAAGCACACTTGCACTTCGGCACGCGTTTCAGCAATTTGCCAGCAGGGTCAGTAGACTTGGCCTGCGACGTCAGCTGGGAATGCTAAGGTGCTGATGCTCAGCTCATGGGCTGGGAACTTGAAAGTTCACAGATTCTGAAAGCTCACGTAACTGACATGAGACCATATGCTGTCATCGGTCGAAGGTGGCAGAGCCACTGCCCGATGACTTCAAGGACTTTTGCTCACATCCTGGTGTTGTCTAGTGAGATGGTGGCATCAGCGCGCAAGATCGGATGATGCACCCAAGGATGCAAGCCCGAAGGTTAGAGTTTGGACATGTTTGGACTTCCACGTCACACCACACGAGTTCGTCTCTGCGCCCGCCGGGCATCGCGTTTGTCGTCTCCCTCACAATCAACACTGGCAGGTAGAGCCGGTAGCAGCTTTCGGGGCTCGCAGATATTTCAGCTCCAGCCACACACTTCTCGCAACAGGCATCCGTACACCAGCTTTTGTCCGCCATGCCTGAAATACCATGTCTGTTTCGACCCTCTGTTTCAAGCAATCTGCATTGTGAAGCATACTTTGCTTCAGAACAAAGGACTTTGCAAAGTACCAGCATCCGTGCTTATCCTGCCAAAATCGTGTCCTCTGACTTGGGAGGGGTTGTCAGACGGGTGTCGTAATGAGGCATCCGACTGGCCTCCAAAAGACATTCACATGCATGTTGATGTGACTTCGACGGTTTTTCTACGCCTGACATGGCGAGCTGAACTCACTACCCCTGCAGGGGTACCTACGTACGCCTTTTCAAAAAATGTGTGGGCCAACATCGTTATGTCACATGCAGGGTCTTTAAGTAAGAATTTGGATACTATACGTAGTGAAATTCTCTTGGTTACTGCCGCGTGGGTTGAAGTCACCCGAGGCGGAAACTGCCTCCTCTCTATGCAAAGAAGACATGAGCTCTGCAATCGGTGCAAGCATGAAACCAATGGCATTCAATCTCATAAACTTCTCTGGTGTAAATTAGCTTTCTCTCATTGAGCTTGGTGGCATCTTTCAAGCGAGATTCGATCACGGCCGCGATTCAAGCACGGGCTCTTCGAGCACAATCGCGGTTCAACCACAAAAGCTTGATCAGACACCGGCGATTTCAGAGGATTTGCCGCACTGAGGTTCTAGGGTTTTGGGATGCGGGTTTTATAGGTTCAGGGGTTCAGGCTTACTAGTTAGGGTTAACAATTATAGATTCTATAGCTTGAGGGCTTAGGTGTGTTGGGTTTGAGTAGCATTTTAGGGAAGTCGTTGGTAGCACAGTTTTGATTTGGAGGCTCTCTTAAATTGTTAGGTTTCAGGGTTTTTCGGGCCGCACAGTGCCCGTGTGTGCCTTGTGGCGCGAACTGGATGTGCCCAAATCCATCTGTCGAAAGATTTGACGGCAGCACCAATCCTGACCACGCCGTGAACGAAGTCGAATTGCCTCTGTCCACAGCGGCAGTGTGCGAATCGGCCCTGTCCAATTCCACCGTCGTTCTTCTGGCGGCGTGACTCCAGGAGGGCAATGTGTTGAATTTCGCGCGAAGGTGTTAGCATAAGCCTCTCCAAAGCTCTGTCCCGGGGCCCACGCCCAAACCGAGAAATGACATCAGAATACCAACAGCTGTGTGCGTTTGTGGCCAAATTTCTGCTGCTGCAAGCATGTCTAGCACGACCACGTTGCTTCGGCTTGTCGTCGGATAGGTGTGATAAGATACAGTAGTCTGTGTAGAAAGCATGGACATGTTGTGCCTCGAAAGCTTTCTGCAGGATGTTCCAGTGCACATCTTTCATGGTGCCGAAGATCCTGTCGCGCCAACCTCGGACTGAGCGAACACCCGGTATGGAGTTTTTCCGTGGGTTTGTCGTCGGTTGTCAGAAGCTGTCGAGCTCAAGGTGCCACTGAGCACAGCTCAGATGGGTCGGGCGCGGCTCGAAGCAGCTGGACTGAGGCGTCAAGGAAATGTGCTTTACTTCATGGATGTTCAGAACCTTCGTGCCAGGACAACATTCCGTGCCTATGCCGGTATGACTCATGGCGTCTGCGACGAAGAGGCCTGAGCAGCTTTCATGCCGAGTCCACCCACCAGGGACTTCGCAGATCAGCTCTCGTTTCATGTCTTACATTCGTTCAATGCAGGTGTTTAGCAGATCGCATCACACATACAACCGACAAGTTGATACGAGTGTCTGCCATTGTCGAACCGAGTCTCCAACCGGACCATCCGACCATCCAGCCCGTCCTCTTTGCATTAGCGCCGCAGAGTCTTGCCACTTCCCCGTGCAAAGTTGACGCTGGAAACCCTGTCGTTTCGGCCAGGTGGCAGACTTGGCGCAGACCTTTTACGAATCGCTTCTGTGAAAAAGACGATGTGCAAAGGCTAGACATGGAGCATCTAGTGTTTCCTTTAAGCTTAAGCATCGACAAGCGTCATTTGTTATTCTCGTTGCGCTGTACACCTCGGCATTTTTGTGTGTCGGCTGCCGCACGTGCAAGTATAAGGCTGGCGGGCCAAGTCCATCTGCAGCTTTGCCCAGAGGAGTTTTTCTGAAGTCTGGTTGAACTCGCTGCAGCACGACGAAGCATGTAGGCTATAGAACAGTTTGCTGTGGAGACAGATTCGACATGTGTAAGAGAGCCTCAGACGCTCGCAGCATGGCCGTTGGGGCCATGTCTTCCGAGCGGCTCTGCCATGAGTGCCATCCAGGCCCTGCGGCTTTCGAAGACTTTTGGTGCCTCCTGGATCCGACATGTTTGCAACAAAGCATATACGGAAGCGAGGACCCCCAGGAGTGGGAGTTGCCCTTCGGCCTTTGTATAGGTCGACACGCCGCAATGGGGGATGGTATTGACCGCTTTTCGGATCTGTCCCTGCCATTGGTCGGTCGTTGTCAGTCCAGTTGTCATGTGCAAGCAGGTTATACGAAGTTACATGTCAGGTATGTAATGTTATGTCATACTACAATGCAAACCAGAAGTTGCAGCCGAAGGCCAGCTGCCCGCATCGCGTGTTTTTGCGTGGGCTGCCGTTGGCATTGGCCGAGAGGCCGCACAGCACGCATCCTCGATCATGTCGCAGAAACTGATGTGGCCACTCACCTGTCACCTATAGACAGCCGATGAGGTCGACTCTGCGAAGCATTTGCAGCGCTTTCGGCGATGTAGAAGATGCATGGGCCGTTTCCTCGGATTCACCCTGAAGTTCTAACAGGCAAAGCCATGTCATGTCCGCATCCGGCACCAGCCATGCCTCGCTCTCTTGAGTTTCGTTTGCTGCCTGACTCCCTGAGTCCCTGAGCTCGCACCGTTTAATGACTGCAGGTCGCTTTACCGTTGCGCTTGAGCCAAAGTTTGGTTTGCTAGCGGAGCCTGCAAGCCTGCAACGTGCAAACTCAAGTTGATAAAAGCGGGCCGACGGACCACACTACAGCATCTCCAGGATTCATCCGACTTGGCGATTGGTCGGCTGTTTCACTCGGCTATGAGCATCTTAGTCGAATCCTACTGGTAGTGCTCAACAACTCGTGCATTCTTACTTGCGCGACCAGCTGCACGAACTCCAGGAGCACGGTTTACGAGAACTCAATCGGGTCTCAAACTGAGCTATTTTCCCAAAGATTGCCGAATGTCGGCTACAGTACATCTTCTCGGACAGGCTTGTGGGCCACTTTGGCGGAAGCAGGGTCTGATGCGTTCGTGGCAGGAGCATGCAGTGGGCAAGTGGTCATCACGCATAAGCTGGCCAATGAACAGCATAACGAAACTATGTGATGGTGGAATCGAGGTCATAGCACCCGGTGTACCGGCAGACTCGGCTCGTGACACGGCATGTCAACTCGATTCGCAACTAACGACCTCTAAGTGGAATGAGGCTATGAAGGAAACCAATGTTGACACGGCCAGATTTGACTTGTTAACAAGCTGTATTCTCCGACCTCATCCTGGTCAGGATGAGGTAACCTTTGAGGTAACCTGAACATCCGTGACCACAGCCTGAAACGTCCTGAGCTTTCTCAATCGGTGAACCGCTCGAATGCAAATTGGGGACAGGGAGGTCGCGATGCCTGACAAGCATTTGACCAAATCCTGTCTGCGCATCTAAGCTCATGCTGAGAAAACTTCCTTGCGCAAGCCAACTCAACTTTTTTGCGACGGTCAAGGAGCCGAAAAGTACATTTGCCGGTATCCGCCGAGGCCTTGGCGGTGACCCGGGCGTTTCCTGCAAACCCCTTGCTGCTAGCCCAACAGAAGGGCGCGAACCACTACTGGGACGCAGGGACTTCTGTGAGCCCGTTGGGCAACGATTTTCTGTGCTGGCAGCCAGGATGCCGGGTGGGCTCATCCTGCCTTCTACCGTTGCATACCGTTGCATGATCGCGCATCTCCTCAATTTCTAAAGTTGCAACACTGCTCAGATAAGCGACATAAAATCACGGCGTGGCGAAGTGGCAACCTCTGTGCTCATCGTTGCTTGCAGGCCCGGCCACCTGCGGACGTTTTTGGTTCCCGCTACTTCGAGAGCTGCTGCATCTTGCAGGAGTTCTACAGCGAATTCATGAACATGTTGTTCGACTACCGCAACGATATCGATGGAAGCCTAGAAGTGGATAATAACCACGGTTGTGACATTTTTGGTAGTGATCGCCAACGACAAGCAGCTGTTTCATGCTGCTTCCAGCTTTCAGATTCATTGCATAGGCATCGCGAACGATAAGCTTCGACGGCAGATCCGAATGCTGAGGTGGTGTGCTTGTAGTTCGGTGAAGAATGCTGGAACGAGCTGTCGATCTTTCTTTCGATGAAAATCGCGCCAGTACGATGGAAAGGTTCTCGAAACCTCGCAAAGCACGCAAAGCGAGGTAAAACTGTGCGTCAGACCGTTGCACGGCGGCGACGGTGGGAGGTGGGGCTTCAAATCTACTGTCAGCTGTCAAATACTGCAAACCATTTATGGTGGAGTTTCGCGTGCAACTTGATTGCTTGAGCTCACATTGCTCGTGCTTTTATGATAAGAGAAAGCTCTTGCACCAAAGAGATGCTCTGCGAGAAACGTTGCAGTTTTCTGCTTGTGGGTCTGGATTGCAACCTCGCATTTAAGAATCTTGAAGGTGTACTTAATGCAGACATGCCTAGATACTCGACTCGATTGGAAAAGGCTTTAGATTACATTTCTTCGAGGCCGCTTCTGTAGAACTGAGAAGATTCCTCAACCAGTATCCTTCCTGCATGTGCGAGCATGGAAGACCATCTCCATGTCAGGTTCGTGTGGTGGACCGCACAGCCGGGCTGCATGAAAGCTGGAGCTTCGTGCAGTTTGTGAGTGGCGCAGGCACGGCGGAAGAATGTGGAAGATGTTTTGAAGTCTAAACGTCCAGTCGATCGCAGTCACACAACTCGTAAAGCATCAGCTAGTCATCCTTGTGTCCAGAAGAACTGGTGACGGCTTCGGCAAATTGGAGTCCCTTTCGCTATTCGGGTCCAAAGGAGACCCCGGTTAGACCCGCCACCCATGGCGGTTGGGTTCCTGCGCGGTCTGGTTCGTCGCGATGTACCTCGTCCTCGACACTTGGCGGGCGGGGATCCATTGGGGACATTATAGGAAGACCACATAGAAAATTCGTATGTCATTAAAGGTCTTCGAATTCGCCGTTGGGACTTCTTCAATGGGCCGTTAAAACATGCCCACTGTGGAATCCTGTGGCGTCGAAGGAGTCAGAATCGGTGTTTGCTCGCTCTTTGGGCGGTCCACAAAGCTGGGAGAGGTGGGTTTGAAGGTGAAACTACACAATACTACACACATGTGGGGACTCTTGGGCCTGGATGGTGCGGAGATTGGTATGTTCTCCTTGCTGTCGAACGAAACACACTCTCTCGGAGAGTGTTTCGGGGTTTAGACGAAAGTTCGTTCATACATCAACACCAAGCAAACAAGGTGAAGGCCCTCAACTGAACTAAAGCCCTGCCTTAACCCCCCGCACCCCCAAGCCTTCGGAGGTGAAAACCGAAACTTGAAGCTATCGCATGCCTCAGACAATGACATCAATATCAATCGAAACAATTCGAACGGGCTTCTCGGCTCGAGTGGTCCCTGATTCGGGGAGATGCATACATGGGTGATGGGTGGAACGTAAGCAGTAAGGAAGGCAAGGGCATGTTGATTCTAAGCAGTGTTGGTGCCGGAACATGGGCAGAATCCATGAGGTTGAATCCGAGGTTAGGGCGGTTTGTGGTTTTGGGCTTAAAACCAAAGTTTGCTGTACCCACGGCCCGATGAAACTGGCTTTCCCGAGACAGGTGGATCGGAAAAGAGCCCACGAAACACAAACCCTTGAACCCTTCAGTGGCTTAAACACACGTGATGTAGAGTCCAAAAGATGGCTGAGAGCTTGTTTGTATCACTGATGGACTAGTGACACCTAGGAACTGGAAGCGAACCTACACTTCACCGTAGTCGCTGGGAATGGTAAACACCATGCTAAACCGATCATTTCCTATGTTCGAGACCAGTGCTGAGAGCGTGTCAGCATTACAGTACTGAAGACGTGAAAGAAAGATTCGCTTGTGTGACTTATGTGCATTGACTGCAGTGCCAGCATGAATCATTGGGCTTGCGCGCACACAGAATGTGTGCATTAGCTGTGCTGATTTATGACTTTTCGACTACGCCGCCGTCGGCAGGGGCGAGCTCAACGGCGGAAGCTGGGCAAGATGTCTGGGAGCGCGTGGCTCAAGCTCAAGGTAAGGCTTGCAGATTGTCCAGAGACTTCCCGGACTTCGCAGCTGCCACAAGTCAAGCTTAGAAGTGTTGCATGGTGCTGCTTCTAATGCCTTCTGATGCAATTGCAGGGCTACAGATCGATGCATCATCCATAAATGCCACACTTCTACAACCTCAGAAGCATGTTGAGGCTGGGGAGCAACAGTGAAAAATTGCGAAGCTTTCGGAGTTTGCTCCCTGTTTCGGCTGGCCGCAGGGTGAAGTCCTTGCAGAGTCGGTCGTTCTTGAAGCGTTGGAAGCTGAAGGCGGATGAGTGAACATGGCACGTAGCGAGTGCGCCACAGGCAACGGCCATGGCCTTTTGGGAAACGTGATGCACAAGCTGTGACAGTAGCTGCAGAAAACTCCAGCATGGCAGACGTTGGCAACTTTGACTTCGAATCTTTCAGAGAAAGATTTTCGATGTGGCTCGGGCGTGACTCGATAGCACTATGCCACTATGCTCATGTTCATATTATGACTCATGAGCGTTAGTGACACTTGCGAGAGTATAACCGCTTAACCAAACTTCATCTTGCCGAAAGTCTACACAGCACGAGCTCCGAGCTGCAATCACAGCAAGGTGGAATGCACCCACATGCCAATTGCAAGCTTCATGGTGCCGTTTGGAGGTCCTGTGTTGCGCCGCGATGCCGAGATTATATTCAAAGTTTTACACGAGCACAGGCCGGAGCGCAGAGCCCTTTCTCTGCAGACCTCTAGATTCGATATTTGGCGATTCGGCACAGTGAGGCCAGATGCAACAGTGCACGGAATACTTCGCTCTGTGAAAGACGTTGATGATGACGAAGTGCTCGCAGGATTGCCGGCTGTAACATTGGTATTCGGGGCCGTGTCACGAGAGTTATTTGTGTACAGCGCGTGGACCGCAGCTACGAAGACCGAAGTTTCATGTGGGCATAAGTATTGATTTTCAAGCGATCTATCTGCGGCAGAGGTTTGTTGGCGAGGGTATGTTTTATGTTTCACATGAGCACATGAGCATTCGCAGCATTCTGAAGGGTCTGGCTGGTGTTCCTCAAGTGTTTTTTTGAAGTTGGCAATAAGAATGGAGACGAACCGTGATGCGACCCGAGTAAGGGCGGTGTTGAAACATGGGTGCGGAACGGCGCGTGAGATAGCATCTCAAGCCCGCAAGGGTTGCCCACTGCTCCCCGCAGAAACCAATGCATGGGGGACTGCCAATGTTCAGATACACGCACAAGGTGCGCACAAGTGCTCAGGGGTCTACAGCTTGCAATGACCTCAGGGGGCAGCACGTAAGGGCCATCTCATGCAAGCTGCACGCACCCAAACGTGGAAGGTTTGTTCGCATCAAGGGTTGGCATGGGCAGAATCACCGCTCATCTGCACTTTGTGCGCATGAGCATGTTGATCTCTTCAATAGGCCTTTTTTTCTCGAACCTCGAGTTTGGCAGCCATGTAGCCTGCAGAGGAACAGATATTCTTCTGGTTATGGCATACTCAGCCAACTATGCTCCCGGAGCTGTTTGCCAAAGGGTTAACTATGAGCAGCTGGGCTGACAATGGCTTTTGTTCAGAAAAGCTTCGATACAGTTACAGGCCGGAGCTTGCCTGCAGGTACTCCAGAAAGCATGGCTACGGCTTTAAATGCGAAGTCCTAACCAAAGAGGACATGCTGGCCGCGATTTCCCCCCGCGATGCGTTCACTTGGTACAAAGCCGCTCAGAATAATGAATAGGAATCTGCAATGCTGTCGCTAGTGCCCGTGACATCTCTGTCCTGCCGCATGGCAAGGTGTTGATGTTGAAGCGAGAGCTGAGCACCGAAAACTACAAGTATGTCGTTTGGCTTGACGGTGATGCTGCCATTCTCGACCACGACAAGTCCTTGGAGAGTTTCATACATCAGGCGCGCAGTGCGGCACGGCGGAGCGAAATATTTCTGATTCACCTCTTGTACCATCAGGCGAAGGGTCGCCACCTCATTCTGCAGGAGGATCTCTCTGCGGAGTGCCGAGTCAATTGCGGTGTGATGATCTTTAGGAGGCCAGGCGTAAGAAGTGCCGACCGTGGTGGGCATTGCGTTCCCGGCTCTTGCCAGTCTTGCATTGCGGTGGACTCATGGACTGCACCACTACGACTCTGCTCACACTAAGTGGGAGATGCCGTGCAATCTGCAGCAGCTGCAGCAGGAGTCTTTATGCCGTCAGTTTGCCAGCAGGTCCAACTGGGCTTCGACATTGCTCAGATTGTTGTGGGAAGGAAACCTTTCCAGACGACATCACTGCAAGCCGTACTATGCATCTCGGACGCACATGCTGCAAGCAGCCGGCACTGCACTTGGAGGGAGGTGGTGTTTCTCGCCCTTCTCCCGCAAAGGCGTCCCCCTGTTTTAAAGACCCGGCGGTCCATTTCCACAAGGTAAGTCTTGAGCTTTCTAGTGCCCTGCGGAGACCTGTGCATAATGCGCACGAAAATTCTGGAAGTAAAGCGAGAAGGACCCATCGGTCTCGAATTCCATCGAAGCCTGATCCATCGTCGCGTTTGAACATTGGAGCGAAGGGGTTGGCGGGGAGATGAGGGGATGTGTACATTTCAGGAGGGAGTTTCGCCGTGTTCTTATCCCGATTGCAGCTCGGCATCTAATCTGCCACCACCTTCCTGCTTCCACCCTGGGCTAGGTGTGATGCACCCAATGGAACCCTTCAATCTCACCCCAGTTCCTTCTCCACTGGATTGCTCAATCAGATTGTGGCCAGGGCCTGTCGAAACCCATTTATTTTTGGCTTGAACTAGGCATGCACAACACTTCATATTGTAACACACACTAAGGAGCAATCGGCACTGGTGCGACTCTTAGTGGAAGCCAAGGAACTCCCAGCCAGGTGCCGCAGCGCAAAGTAAACCGGATGCAGTGCGCTCTGTGCGGTCCTAGCTTTGCCTGTTGCTTGCCATGAGAAATCGAAAAGGCCTTCGACTGCACGGCTCCAGCACTCCTGGCATTCCGACAAAGTTTGTCTTCTGCCGCTGCGCTCTTTGCAGACAAACCGGCTGCGCGAGGCTCGCTAGAAGCTCTCGAATCGGTTTTCGTTGATTGCTTCCTGGGAAAGACAATCCTTTCCAAAGTCTGCATGCCATCAATCAGAATTGTAAGGGCCGACGAGACCCGTTGATCAAACCCTGTGGAAGTGGCAAAGCTTGCAAGCAAGCTCTCCTTGGGACCAATTTTGGCCTGGAGCCCTTGATCATCCTTGATCTGCGCGAGGTGCAGCTCATCCACCCGGACAAAAGTTTCATTTTCCATCCGCTTTTTGCGTCAGAGCAGTTCGCAGAGGACAAGGCCGGAGTTGAACAGAGGAATGCTAATAAGACTTCTTTTTGGTGCCAATCTCGGCTCAGGCGCAAGCTCTGTGCTCTGTGTTGGCAAGCATGGGCCACTCGATTCGCGAGGGCGACATGCTGTCAGTGTCCGCACAAGTGACGACGCAGTCTACGCAGTGCGTAGACTTGTCGGCATGTGAAAAGAGATTCCAACAATGCGGCATTACATGCTCGAGTATATTGCACTGCTTCGATGCGATCTTCATCGTTGGTCATGCCTGCAGATGTTCTTTCAGTCACTCTGGCATGAGCGCTGCAGCTGTATGCCATCATGTGTGCACGGTGCCTGGCAAGACTCGCAGCATTTAGCGTATGCGGCTGGCTGGGAGGACCGTCTTTTAGAGTCTGTGTCTCTCTGTCTGTCTTTGTCTTTGTCTGTCTGTGTCTCTGTCACTCTCTGTCTGTCTGTCTGTATCTGCCTGTCTGTCTCTGTCTCTCTGCCCGTCTCTCTGTCCGCCTCTCTGTCTGTCTCTCTGTTTGCCTCGCTGTTTCTGTGTGTTTGTGTGTCTGTCTGTCGGTGTCTCTGTGTCTCTCTGTCTCTCTCTCTCTCTCTCTTTTCTGTCTGTCTGTTTGTCTGGGGGTCTGTCATTGACGGAACTTTTGACAGGGGGCAAATACGTTGTTCCTGGAACCGTCATCCTGTGACATGATCATCCTTCAAGCAGCGCATGGTTAAAGTCTATAGTCATAATCGTCAGCTGCTGATGTCATCCAACGGGAGATCATTATTGGATGCCAGTGCCTCCATGAGAGGCATGTGTGAAGTGACATCTCCAGTTCGGCATGCCGATTATGCCACGGCCCATGACATCATGACAGCATGGCAGCATCACAGTTTCATGGTAGCCAATAGGGGTGAACAGTGATGGCATTATTCGTCATCAATGTACAACGTATGATCCTTCTACGTTGAGTTTTTTTTTGATGTGGTGGCTGGGCCACACGGCAGCGGCTGAGAGGTAGTGTTTTCTCCGTATATTTAACTCCGTATATCTATTCCGTAAGCACTCAAAATCATTTTGCGCGAGGCAGGGCAGGGCAGGGCACCCAAGCAATCTTGCGAATTAATTCGCGCAGGCAGGACCCGGCAGGACCAAGAGTCAGGGCGGGGGCAGGGGCAGGGGCAGGGCCAGCGGCAGGGGCAGGGGCAGGGGCAGGGCAGGACACCCAAATCTGAATCTTGCGAACTGGCGCACAAATCTGTAAAATAGCCCTTGGCAGGGGATAAATCCCTCTAATCCGCAAAACAGGCAGGAGACAGGGGCGGACCTGGAGCAAGGCAGGCAGGGGAGGGCTGTTGGCATGGACCGGCTAGCGAGTCCGCAGGTGTGTCGTTTGCCCCACCCGCAGAGTGCTTTGGGGGGGTTCCGTGCATGCGCAGTAGACGCCAGCCCATGCCTTATATCCTACAGGCTCCAGCCAACGGCGGAGTTTTGGCCCTCCGCATCCCTGTTTGTTTTGAGCGATTTAGCGTCTGATTCAGATTTGCCTCCAGTCCTGCGTATTCTGCTGTGTCGACCTGGGCCTGCCCAAACTCCCAAACTCCCCAGCCCTCCAGATTTGTTTGTTCTCTGTCGCACAAACTCTCCAGCCTTTTCCACAACCCTCTACCAGCCCTCCCGTCAGCCCTGCAGCTCCACGCACATCCTCCGTATGTTTAAAAGATGGCCGGGCCGACCGCGCCCTCCACAGAGGTAGTGTGAGAGGTATCTGTTCAATCTATTCTTATGTCCGCATGTTTAAAAGCGTCGCCGTACATTGGGGAGTATGCAGTTCGCTATTTTATGAACATTTTAGCAGGCATCGCCGAGACCTTACAAGATCCATACAAGACTTTTGATTTTGATTGCATGCCAGCCACGTGCCGCAAGTGTCGAAGGGGGAAGCATCCTCCCATCGTAGTTGAAAAACTAGTGCTTCGGGACCGCTGTTTAATCTTGAGGACTTCAAAAGGCCAATGCATCAGTTGCTGTACGAACCGCCTGGCAGTGAACGTATTCAAACCGGCAAAGCCAGGTCACAACATTTCACGGCAAAGCTTCGTTCCTCTCGCTTCGTGTTGGGGCATGATAAAAGCGTGGTACTAGGTCCTCTCCGGGGATGTCACCCCCTTCCATCCACATAGTTTCACTGACCAAACAGAAATTTGAGTTTGCTTGTGTTTGTCTCTGCATCGGTCTGTGTGTTCGTTCGTGTTCCTTTCTGCAAGGTTTCGCCAGCTGGATGTAGCTTGGCCTTGTCACACAGCGTGTTCATGCACTTTGCGTTCGAAGCAGGACTGGAGATGATGCAGCGACAGCTTGATGGTCTTTGTCGAAGGCCTGTTTTGCCTCCATGGCCTGTGAGATGCAGTCTGACCTGATACAACTATGAGGGCCAGGTTGAGTGCATTGTTAGCGTGAAGGCTGGAGTCACCAGCCAGAAGAATCCATTGATCGAATAGCCGAGCATCCATATATTCGCATGCATGTTCCATGCCAGGCAGCACACTTGCTTTTCGAGCCATCCTTTTGAAACTGGCTGCAGAAATCCCTGGGCTTCTAGCATAGAAGCACGTCGATCGACATGGGAATTGGACACGATGTATTTATCTTGCGTTTGATCGTTTGAGAGCTTTTTGTTGCCCTTGTTTGATCTTGCATGGCGGGGTTGGTGGGCACGTCACCGGCTGCTCGCTAGCCGAGCCGCCAACACACACAAAGAGATGTCATTGGCCTGATACTCGCGGCACCAATCCCACCTGCCCATGCGATCGTTGTGATGTCGGCCTGTTCTGCTTAGCTGCTGTGTTATCTTTGGTGTTTAAGGTTTAAGCACTTGGCTGAGCAGGCTCAGTGCCGCAGGGTGTGCTCTGTTGCATTGCCGACCCCGCGCTGCTTGGCAGGCCACATGACTGATTGGATTCACAGGTGTACTTCATTCGCTCTTTGTTATTCTGTGACGAGCTGCGTGCACTGACTCTGACTTGGCAGATTCTCCTGCGCGGAAACGCTGACGAGGTGACGGGTATAATCTTCGTTGCTGCAAGTCTGTCACTCCCTGTGCTGTTCGGTGTTGGATGAGCATCACGACGAAATGCAATGTCATCCATGTTTGCTCCAGTCCACAAGGTATTGCTTGAGAGTCCAGAGTAGAAGCAAACGTGACATTCATTCCCTCGCAGTGATCGATGTTTGGCGGAACGAGTATTAGAGTATTGGGCATAGCCACGTCAGCAACGTTTGCTTGTGCGCATCGAAGCTCTTTTCGGATGCCGGATGTGAATGCTTTTCTGCAGGTGCATCGCATTGAGGGACGGCCTTTGTTGCTGCTCGACAAAGCAGCGCGGCTTCGCGACAAGGCCTTGATTATGGTTGGTGGGTGTGTCACAGGGAGGCTGCATGGGTCGGACTTGAGCACTCCGAGCACCAGCAGAAGGTTCAATCGAAACGATTTGAGGCTGTCCTCTCCCCAGCCAGACGGACAGCATAGGCCGCACTCCTGGCATCGTATACCAATGAAACAAGGATTGCCTTTGGCATCGTGTGCTTTGTCCCAGGCTAGCAATTCGTCGTTCAGTGACACCCACGAGATTGCACACAGACAAGACCTGCAATGCCACGTTGATCTCACTTGAACCAGAGCAAAACGCTCGTCCCGTATAGAGCACCCAAATTACTGCAATCTCTGTGCCCAGAGTTCCGATTGCCGGTTCTTGCATCAGTCGCGGGCCTTGTTGCAGGTTTGCAAACGAGCACCAGTGCTGCAGGACTCCTGGTACCGGAATTAATCCTTGTGCATGCGCCAAGGCTCTCAAAGCTGCCGACAATGCTTTCGTTTTCGGGTGCTCGCAATCCTGTTTACTGGCTGATACCACTCCGCGGATCTTAATCGGCTTCGGTGACTACGGCAGTCGGGTCCTTGCGGTGCAGAACAGAGACCTGACCAGATGTTGCAATTGAGGAGCAATGGGACCAGTTGGGTGTGGAGACCGTGTGCGTGGTGGTTAGAGGCCGCGAAGATGTTCGGCTTAGGAGAAACCTCGCCTTACTTTTTGTCCGACGTCGATCTTCTGCTTCTTTTCTGCAGGCATCAGTGGCGAGATCATTCTGGAGGATCACGGTGCGAGGGCGATTCGTATAGTATTCTGGCACAAGTCCGGCACATTCCGTGGCGGGTACTTTGACTTTCCCTGCAGGAGCCGGAGGCCAGGTCAAGGACCCCGGTGAAGCAACTCGTGACGAAGATCCGACTCCTGACAGAAGAAAAATTCACTGCCATGTCTTCGCCTCGTGACAAGTGGTTCCACCGAGGAGCCATGGCAGACACGGAGGCCGAATTGGTTCAGATATGCCTCGGCACCACAGTGCTCAAGCACTGTGCGATGCTAGGTCTTCTGCCTTTGTTGTTCATGTTGATGGATCATGCGTCATGCATTAAGATCTGCCTGCCGAATACCGTCACGAGACAGCATCGAGGGCAGCAATCTGAGGCGATTACCTGGTCCCAGAGATAGACCAGAGCATGTTGGCGCAAGCCTCGGGCGAAGGTCAATCGGTGAGGGGTTTGAGGGTCGTACGTATGCGCTGTTGATCATTGCCGTAAGCATGTAGTTCCGAGAAGCTCTCGAATTCATCGGCGCTCGGAAATCAGAGCTGGTGGCTTTGGAGCAACTTACTACTTAGTAGTCAGTACTTCTGCTACTGCGCATGAGCCAAAGCGGTCCCCAACGTGGGTCTGGCAGACGTTGCGACAATTTGGCCGACTGTAGGCCAATCCCGGCTCGGCCCAGAGGCCGATGGAAGCTCCACTGGTAGCCTCTAATTTCGAGCTCCATTATGTTGACAACAAGAGCCACAGAGCTTTGCAAAAACCGCAGGGACCACTCCGTTGTGCATGGTCATCGAAGTTTCGGCAACACAGCATCTCTCAAGTTTGGCTCTACCTTCGATACAGACGACGAAGCTGCATGCTTCATCATGCAGCAAACTCAGGAATTGACCTTTCTCAAGCTCTTGGGCCCTGCTGTGACTGTGGAGGCCGGCACAGCTTCTTAATCACCATCAAACAGCACCCGCACTCGATGCTTTGCACATGTTTTGTAGCACCTAAGCACTTCACAGACGTCAGAGCGATTCTTTGATACATTTAGATACCCTCGTTTGTCCGTAAATGGTTGTCCTGCACGAGGCACTGACAGGACGTGAGATCAAGTTGCTGGACTCGGTTCCCAGCCGAGGCGATCGCTGTCACTTCGACGTAGCCTCAATTTGCTCGGCCTGTCCGCTTCAACGTTCTGTTGCTTTTCTTGACGCGATGAGACACATGGGTCTCGTTTTTCGCTCCCGCAGACATGTCCATGTGCTTGATTGTCCGAGTTGGCGCTCACAACGGACCAAGGATCGAAGCTACCGATTCATTTCTTTGGGCAGCTTTGCTGACAAGCCGTCCATGCGCTATGTTATGACAAGCAATGACGACAAGGACTGGCAGAATTTGGCAAACTTTGACATGTTTGGGGATGAGTGGGGGCATCTTCAGATACCTGCTGTGCATGTGTCAGGGGACTCCTTCTGATGAGGCCATGTGGAGACTCAACGTGCGAATGCCCGTTTCTCCCAAAAATAGGAAGAGAAGTGAATGCTGACAATGTGAGTGGGGTTGTGCATCGCTGCAAAGGCAGCCACAGCTCACCAATGCGCATGACCACAGCAATCCAAGCCAAGGTTATTGTGTACCTCAACTTCCGAAGCGAGATGCACGTGAGATACGTTCGCAAGTGGTTAAAGACCGGAAGGGGCCCAAGTTACCAATTGAGTTGTCTTCTCAGCACCGTGAGTCAGCGCCGCGAGTCTTTCCTGACTACAATATGGTGTTGTTGAGGTGATTGGACTCGGTCCACGCAGATGGAGAGCACAGTGACGTCAGGTATACCCAATGGACCTTATTCAGGACCTGTTTTCTTCAAGGCCATGAAAGCCAGTCTGAATGCCATTGGCTGAACGCATGGATCGGTGATGCACTTCGCAAGCCGGTTCCTCTCGCGAGGCGGTCAGTGACGGTCTGCTGGATTTACGCGGAAGTGACTGCGGAGAAGGGACTTACTTCGTCTTTATTGTAACGACCTCAGACTCAGACTTGCAGTCTTTCATGACTTGGGCAGTATAGCTTCCCTCGTCAAACTCGAAGGATATCGAGCCAGACCTAGTGAGTCACATTCCAGGCGACACCACTGCTCCCGGTAGACTGTCCTGTGAAGTCCGAACCGAGCTGGTGAATTGACCGGATATCATGCAAGGTCGGCAGGATGCAGGATTCCAGGCTTTAATCTTCCCTCATGGGAGAAGCCCAGCCATGGTTACAGTGATCTGTAGCAGTCTGTACATAGCTGGCAGGGCTCCCATGTGCAGAACCGGTTTATGCAAGTTGAGTTGAGCACCGCAATGACCTACTGAGACCAAGCAGCACACTACATGAACACAGCTGCATGGACCGTTCTACATTGTCCATATGCTTGCTTGCCAGGGCCAAAGCGGGGCTGCTTTCTCGATGAGCTGTCAAGCTCTCCCAAGGAGAAGTTGTAGACGCCACATGACATCTCGTCCGGTCCGTTTGCTGCTTAAGCGGGCCCCCCGCAGGTGCCAGCAGAGCGAAGAGGCATATAAGTAGACGTTTCAATGACCCGATGAATTCAGCTGAATAGCTGTTGTTTGGTGCAATGGCTTGCCTTTCTCTGGTGTGATGGCCGACCCCTTGCCCTGCCTGCAGTGGCGGTGAGGCGGATGCCTGAGTTCATCCCTTTCACAATGGCTTGCGGCATCTTCTGACTTCTGTGCTTTGGGGAGGTGAGACCATGGCCAACTCATGTGGCTCGGGCCGCAGGTTGCGATGGAGTCCAGGTGGCCAGGTCAGCTAGCCAAGACTCAAAGCGAGTTAAAGACAATCTTCCAAAACTGCTGAATTCCACAAACCCAGCGCCTGCCATGAAGAAGCACGCCGATATCATCTTTTAAGAAAAGGATTCGCTCCGCCTTACATCTGCCGCAAACAACTCACGAACGCTTCATTGGCAGACTTCTCAGTGGTTTTGCAGGAGCTGTGGCTTCATAGTCGGGCAGAGACCAGATATATAGATATAGATGCCTTCAGCGGAGACGAAGTGGTAGTTCATTTGTACAAGTAGGTGGTTTCCCTCTGCGCGTCATGAAGTTGGTCAAGCTAATAACATGGCCTCACTGCCAAAACCCGTAACTGGACTGGAATGCTTGCCTGCCTAGTCCGTCCATGCAACCTGAAAATCAGAAACTGGAGACCATCGCAGCACCAACAAGTCGCAGGGTAAGAGAAGCGCTCTCTCCTTTAGCCGCGAGCCCACTAGCGCGGTATAGCACGATGCAACATCGCCTTACATTGAAGCAGCATAAGCATTTGTCTCACTGCGAGTAGTAACCTTGCCATTTATGCGGATTACGGCCGAAATACACAAATCTGACCGTGTGGGTTGAGGCGATGCAAACGGCGATGCGTGCCCCTCATCGCTGTTGCGACAGCATTTCCAAAAGGAGTATAAACGGTGCGGTCGCATCCCCGAAGCCCTCGCCCCTCACTTATCAAATTGCACATTTTGCATCAGTCTGCGCCGCCGTTTACACGCGACGGTGCTTGCTGGGGTGCAGCAAAAGTCGTTGGAATGGTCAGGTACTACAACGGTGCGCAGAACATGGGCCCGGGCTCCGCGATACGATCAGATCGACAGTTTCGCACCCGGCGCCCGGTGTTTCTGACTTGCGACAGCCACAGCCACTTTTACAGCCTCTTGTCATTGTCCTCGAGGCTTCTGCGGGAGCAGCTAACGCCGGATGCGCGTGGCTTGGTTGTGCCCCCAGCATGTGTCGATGCGGCAGGCGTAGCTTGAATTGAATTCTGCCGTCTGGTGTCGGTACTCGACGTTTCGCGGTTTCGGTTTTTGTGTATGTTTGGTGTGTGTGTGTGTGTGTGTGTGTGTGTGTGTGTGTGTGTGTGTGTGTGTGTGTGTGTGTGTGTGTGTGTGTGTGTGTGTGTGTGTGTGTGTGTGTGTGTGTGTGTGTGTGTGTGTGTGTGTGTGTGTTTGTGTGTGTGTGTGAGGAACCCTGTTACCAAGGCAATGCCTGATGTGAGTGTGTCAAAATGCAGGGGGTCCCAGGTCTGCTACTCATGCTGGGACCAACGAAGACCATGAGTAAGCAGACGTGAAAACGTACCTGCTATGCGGAGTACCTGGGTGGCCGCGTCCACAGCTGGTATCCTCAACGGGGACAGGACGCTTGTCCCTGCAACGTGCTACATGTTGTCATCAGCATTGCACTCTGCAGATAGCAACATATGCCATTCCGGGTGTCTGGCGCGACGACGACACCATGAGACGGGACCCTAATCCTTCAACACATTCCATTCCTTGGGTCTGGAGAGAAGAACCAAAACCTATTCGTCTATGGGCCCGAAACCCAACCCATGGCGACGACTTCCTGCCGGATGGCTTCAAATCTTTACCTCTGGCCAATAGGAGAAGTAACAATCAGAGGGAGGATTGCGCAAGTGTTTCCCTAAACGGTTTTTCGTTCAACCTGCCGTCTACGGTAGGAGTGCCTACTGCGTTGAACCCTGTACGGTTCTTGAGCCCTGATCGGCTCCATTGTTCAGAACCCTGGTCGGTTCCCTTGTGCTGAACCCTGATCGGTTCACCAGGAAGCAGTGCTGGGAAGTTGTTTTGGTCCTGACAGGACAGGTCCAAGGGCGGTTCATGTCCGCATTGATCCGATGTTGAGCCTCGCAGACGGTCAGCCTTGAGACCAGCAGGGCCCAACCAGGAATTGTCTTAGTTGGCGCAACCCTCAGTTGAGAAGAGAAGCTGACGACGACTTTACCTGGGGGTTTGTGCCCCTTTGGTTGCTTCTGGTTGCTCCTGGACCCGTTTCGGTAGCTAGAGAACCATATGACGATATGACGACGCGACATCACCAAGGTACTGTTGATTGTGGTCCAACCTACGATGCCCGTGCCCAAGTGGCTTTCTGCGTGTGAGGAACCCTGTTACCAAGGGCAACGCCTGATGTGAGTGTGTCAAAATGCTGGGGCTCCCAGGTCTGCTACTCATGCTGAGACCAACGGCAACCATGAGTAAGCAGAGGTGAGAACGTACCTGCTATGGGGAGTACCTGGGTGGCCGCGTCCACAGCTGGTATCCTCAACGGGGACAGGACTCTTACAGTAGAAGCCAAAACGTTGGAAACCCAATAGCCTCAATCCTCAAGAGTGATGTATAGGGAATCCCATCACTATTTGGCCTGAATCCGGTTTCCAACTTTATGGGGTTTACTGTATCCCTGCAACGTGCTACATGTTGTCATCAGCATTGCACTCTGCAGATAGCAACATACGCCATTCCGGGTGTCTGGCGCGACGACGACACCATGGGACGGGACCCTAATCCCTCAACACATTCCATTCCTTGGGTCTGGAGAGCGGAACCAAAACCTATTCGTCTATGGGCCCGAAACCCAGCCAATGACGACGACTTCCTGCCGGATGGCTTCAAATCTTTACCTCTGGCAATAGGAGAAGTGACAATCAGAGGGAGGATTGCGCAAGTGTTTCCCTAGACGGTTTTTCGTTCAACCTGCCGTCTACGGTACGAGTGCCTACTGCGTTGAACCCTGTACGGTTCTTGAGCCCTGATCGGCTCCATTGTTCAGAACCCTGGTCGGTTCCCTTGTGCTGAACCCTGATCGGTTCACCAGGAAGCAGTGCTGGGAAGTTGTTTTGGTCCTGACAGGACAGGTCCAAGGGCGGTTCATGTCCGCATTGATCCGATGTTGAGCCTCGCAGACGGTCAGCCTTGAGACCAGCAGGGCCCAACCAGGAATTGTCTTAGTTGGCGCAACCCTCAGTTGAGAAGAGAAGCTGACGACGACTTTACCCTGGAGTTTGTGCTCCTTTGGTTGCTTCTGGTTGCTCCTGGACCCGTTTCGGTAGCTGGAGATCCTTATGACGATATGACGACGCGACGACATCACCAAGGTACTCTTGATTGTGGTCCAACCTGCGATAACCTGCGCTTTCTGTGTGTGTGAGGAACCCCGTTACGAAGGCGGCAACGCCTGATGTGAGTGTGTCAAAATGCTGGGGCTCCCAGGTCTGCTACTCATGCTGGGACCAACGGCGACCATGAGTAAGCAGACGTGAAAGCGTACCTGCTATGGGGAGTACCTGGGTGGCCGCGTCCACAGCTGGTATCCTCAACGGGGACAGGACCTTTATCGGTGCAACGTGCTACATGTTGTCATCAGCATTGCATTCCGCAGATAGCAACAGACTCCATTCCTGGTGTCTGGCACGACGACGACGCAAAGGGACGGGACCCTAATTAATCCTTCAACACATTCCATTCTTTGGGTCTGGAAAGAAGAACCGAAACCTATTCGTCTATGGGCCCGAAACCCAGCCCATGCTGGCGACTTCCTGCCGGATGTCTTCAAACCTTTACCTCTGGCAATAAGAGACGACGTCTCTTACGTCGTAACAATCAGAGGGAGGATTGC